GGGGTCACCCCGACCTAGACCCCGCCCACTACAGAGAGGCGGCTACGGCGGCCGGTTAGGGTCCTGATTCTTCCTACCGCGAACGGGCTGCGGGTGCGGGTGACCGCGGTACAGCCGAGTCGATCCCGCGAAAGCTTAGTTCGGAAGCGTGGGGCTAGAAGCGACGTCGCTAAGCTGCAGCGCGTCGCGCTTAGCGCGACGGGCGAAGCTAAGCCCCGCCTCCCGGAGGCTCCGCCCCTGCGCCGGCGGTTGCTAGGCGGCCAGAAAGCGCCAATTCGGCGTGGGCGACACCAGGCGGAGCGAGGAGGGACGGCCGGCCGCCTCGCGGCGCTGAGAATCTGCTTTCGCCGGCCTGATTGGCAGCCCCGCGGCGTGGGCTGGGAATCCTCTGCGCGCCGCCGCCGGGCGGGGGCGCCCGATGGGCCTCGGGCGGCTCGGGAAGCCTCTGCGCCGGAAGCCGCTGACTTCGGGGCCTGGATTTTCCTCGCGAAAGGTTTTCAGAATTTTTCTTTACCGTTTCTGAGCTCTTAAACTAACCTGCTGCGGCCTGTAGTCCCTTGTTTTCTCTTTGATATACCGAAGTGTATGCCCCTCGCTGGGAATCAAATGTTGGTCCCTTAATTCTAGTAGAAATAAGTAATAAGGACAGTTATGTTATTAACGAGAATAGTAAGCACTAACGTGGCGTTTACGACGTGCCCAGCTCAGTCCTAAACCCCTTACACATGCTTATCTAATCTTTTCAACGACCAAAGTAGGTGGGCACGATTATTATTCCCGACCTAATAGATGAGGAAACTGAGGCACAGAGAAGTAATCTGTACAAGGCCACAAAGAAGGAAAGTGGGAAGCCAGAATCCAAAACTAGGTAGTTTGCCTTTAAAGCCTGTGATCTCGCGTAATTGCTACAGTATGTCATAATGGGGGGGGGGTGTGTTTCATATTTCATAATGTATTTCACTTCCTAACTCCATAGAAACTCATCCAGGCGGGCATCCGGAAGATTGGGGAGGTTTGTATGGTGGCCCTCTAGTGTCACTGCCCTCTAGTCAAAGGCCACTTGGAACACCACTGTGGTTGAACAAGTTGGGTTTATTTCTTATTGCTTCTAGGAAAACATACACTTTGGGAAACAGTGGGGCATCTCCGTAAGAGGGTGTTAGATGATTTATCTATTATAGCATTTGGGCTTCCTTGGGTGATTTGGGGGTGAGGTCAAGGAAGCGGGGCTTTGCTCTGGATTGGGTGTCCTTAGGAAGCCAGGGTAACACCAAACCCCAGCTGAGTGCCAGGCCAGCTCCCAGATGTTAAGGGCTGCTTTTCTCTTCAAGTGAATTGTATATTCCATGCCACCCCCATCTATATCCCTAAGGAGAAATACTGAGAAGACTCTGAAGGCTCTACATTAGAAGTGGAATGACATATGTATATAAAAACGTGAAGCATAGTGATCAATTAGGACAGGAGTTCTTAATTCAGGAAGTATGTGAACTTGGACAGGGAAAAATTACAACTTTATTTTACTAACCTCCAACTGAACTTTAGCATTTCTTTCAATTATAGTGTAGGCAACAAACCACAGTAATATCAGCAGTACCTGTGACTTAGCTATAGAGAAAGCACAGATATCTTCATATCATGTTCTAGTCATGGACAATTTCTTGAGATAACATTTCTACTCATTACCACTTCACAAGTACAGTAGTGATTAGAGCTCTCATTTTATTTAATGCATAAAAACACATATTTCTATAATTTTGTTTTTGAAAATATTGCAACAATGATTTCAATATAATTGGAGTTTTTTGTAATCCTATATTTTATGTTATGCATTTTAAAAAATACTTTTTATTGATTTCAGAGAGAGGAAGGAAAAGGGAGGGAGTCATGATGAGAGAGAGTCATTGATGGGCTGCCTCCTGCACGCCCCCTTCTGGGGATTGAGCACGCAATCAGGGCATGTGCCCTGACTAGGAATTGAACCATGACCTCCTGGTTCATGGGTCAATGCTTAACCACTGAGCCATGCCAGCCAGGCAATCATGCATTTTTAAAAGCATAGTTCTTGGAAGGAGTCTGTCCATAGGAGGTCCGTCCACACACCAAAAGAAAAGATAAAGAGCCTCTGCTTTAATAGAAGAAACTAAGCAGTGACTGCCACCAGCAAACATCAACTCATCCTAAGAATTTGAGAACTGCATCCAAATTAGAGTAATGCATCAAAGGATAGAAAAACAGAGATGGAATCAGATCATTTAGTACACACCTTCTCACTTTACCAAGGCGGGACCTATGTTACTGAGAGGTTAAGAAACTTGCCCAAAGTTTCAGTTATTCCATGACACAACCAGGGTGGAAAATTTTTAGACAAGCATGTAACCCCCCCCCCCCC